GGCAGTTGGGGGTGGGAATAGAGCAGTACTTGCAGTTGACCTGTTAGTTAGCACCACAATGCTGTGTGCTGCAGCTCAAAAAAACCTATACAGCCTTTAAAAAAAAATCAAGTTCAAATACTTGTCTTCTATAGTTTCAACCTTCATAAAAATAGATTCATTAAAATGAAAATGATACTCCAAGTGATGCTAAAGATCAGCAGGTTAAGAAACAGACTTGTGACAAAAATACACTCTGCAAGGCATCTTTGCAATAGGATTCCTGGAAGAAGCTTAAGTCATTCAACAGACCATTAACTAATAATACAGAAGTGACTAATTTATTAAATGGCTGAGCCATTTCTATATTTATGTATTATATGATCTTCCTTTTGACTAAATCCAAGTAATATAAACCTGCTACTTCACACTAGTATGGTCAGGCACAAATTAGTAAGTCACATGGTACTTTCAAATAAAACTGAATCATCAGAGGAACAATGAGAACAAATGGTGAGGCAGTTTGCTGCAAAAGGGACAGTGCCTCTTAACAGCCTTTCAGTCCAAGAAAGACAAGTAAAATCAGGTTATGTCTCCAACCTCCATGCACAGGATTTCATACATTTTTTTTTAACTCTAACATTACAGTGCTTGCCATTTTAATATCTTAGCTGTTCATACTCTTCTTTTCCAAAGCAAGAAACCAAAGCCTGTGCTGTAAATGAGCAATTACAAATATATATCTGTATCTTCCAGTTACCTCAGGAACAGGATTACTAGGTAAATTCAGATCCTAGCCAAAACAAAAAATGCATGGGAAGTATGAAAGCTTTAAGGGTGATGAATGATCTATACACCAGATTAACATGGACACTCCATGAAATAGGTTAAATTCAGCAAGCTAGTTGGCAGCTCTGTTCATCATAACCATTAAAACAGCCCTCCTTGAAGGGATACTGTCAATTTGAAAGGAACAGCTACTTAGCACCACCCAAATCTCCCTGCTCATCGATGTTCCCCCACACCTCCTTCCATTTTTTTTTTTTTTTAATGTGGAAAATCTATACCAGTGATTCTCAATCAGGGTGCCACAGCCCTTAGAGCTTTTGAAGGGTGTCTTGAGGTGTGAAATAAGGGAGGTGTGAGAAGATAAGCAGATAAAGCCAGGTTCAAGCTTGTCCCTGCCTGGCTAATCCGCCACCCCTGCTACCTGGCTCCTGTGCAAGGTGGTAAGCACTATAAAATTAGATTTTGAAAGTAGGTGCCACTCAATTCACCAGTTATGCAGGAAT